GGGGGGGGGGGGGGGGGGGCACACCCGAAAAGAAAGTGAAAGAAAAAAAAGCCAGAAAGAATAGAAGAATTACATGATACCTCAGGGTCCAGCAGGGAGTAGGCTTTCAGTATATTATACAGTGACAGTTGTCCTGCCCCCAGCTGGGCTTGGAAGTATGGATGAGTGGGAAAAGTGCGACCTGGGACAGAAGAAGAGTGAGACATGATCTATATTGCAAAACATCTGCACTGTTCATATTTAGCATGAAATTCTCTGCCAGACAAAGTATCTATTTGATGTCTGAGATCAACCTGATATGCATCTAAAAACACAATAACACAGTTTTAATAGATTGTTATGTCTGACATACTCCTGGAAAGAATCTGAGTGAATGATCCATAAGACACCAAAGCTTCTGGGTGTGCAACACGTGTTTGAACGAAGCATAAACTCTGCCTTAGGGATGGTAGACTTCACGGTTTGCTGTTGATGTGCTTGGTGTATGGGCATGTGCCAACCCATTCCAAGTTGTCATACTTACAAACATGTTTATAAAAACCACACACACATGAATCCAGCCTCATGACTTAAATGACAACATAATGAGCCGGGATCTGTAAAAAAAAAACATTCTTAAAACGTATGGGCTGGTAATTGGCAGGTGTGTGTGTTTTCCGACTGAAAACTTCTTGACTTACAGTGTGTGACATCGAGGCTCTGGCGAAGACAATGACAACGGTGTGAGTGTGTATGCGTCGAATGTGCAGGGGGGGAGTTTATGTTTGCGAACATAATGTCACGACTCCCTCCCTTGCCTGAAGGAAAGAGAATGTATATGTGTCTGTTCTGTGTGCTGAATGTAACATTTGGGAGTGCTGCACTTTAAAACCCTAAATTCTAAACCTTTGTCCTCTTGTCTTACAACTTACTTAAACGCTGCACTTTCGCACAGCCTTCAAGGTGCCGTACATTTTCTACCTGACAACCTCTTTGCTTGGTTCAATATCACAAACAATGTGTGTGTTTTTTTCCTAGAGCACATAACACCTTCATATTGGGCCATGGTACCAACCGTCACTGTATACGCCGTTACCTCCGTCCCCACCCTAATTTGATGTAAAGTGAATAACATGATAGTCAGATGAAAGACACAGGGTCAACAGCAAACACAGTGGAGGTTAAGTGCTACAGGCATAGATCTGTGGGTGGATGTGTATGTGTGTGGGTGTTATATGGGTGGGGTGTAGGTACTGTATGTGTGTGTGTGGGTTTTTGGGTAGGAGGTGTTGTGAACATTTCAGGGTGAAAGCGTTAAAATGAGGTTTGACACAGTGTAATATACTCAGTGCAGGGTTTCTGCTGTGTTCACCAAATTGAACTGAAGACATTTAAAGACCTTTTTAACATAAGAAGATGTAAACCCTTCTTCAGAATCATTCTTGTCAAAGAACGATAGAAAACCAGTAGGGACAATAAGGTGTACAATCATTTCAGTACATGCATTGATTGAAATCTACCCAGATTAAAATTTGATGGATGGCCAACCAATAAAAGAAATAATGAAATGTATGCAGGTTTTGCTAAAATTGAAAGTTGCCCATTATGTGTCACCTCTTTTAATCCGCCTTGCTCGCAAAGAGTTTCGCCCACATCCTCTAACACCACACAATTATCAACTCTGGAGAAAAAGATATGTTTAATTCTTTAATAAACATGTTTTTATGACTTTTCAAAACGTGCAGATTCCCCATCTGCAAAATCTAAAATGTGTCAGTGAATATGAACATATGTGTGCGTGTCCGAGTTACCCAGATCGATGAGAATGGCGTGTTGCTGTGAGGTGAGCTGTTTCAGCAGCTCTTTGTACGGAGCGTCGTTGGAAGGGGGTCGGGAGGGGACTGCCTGCCTGAGCAGAAACTGTTCAGAGAGAAACTTCCAGATCTCTCCTCGATGCTGCCTCGGGACACCTGTCAAAGATGACAAAGATGAAGGAAGATAAAGGTTATAATGGTTGAGTGGGGAGGGGTAGTGCGAAGGTGAAATGTAACCTGCTTTCCTTGACAACTGTTCAGATTTTGATTCTGTATGCAAGTCATGTCTGTAGTATGCAAATCACAGGGAGTTCTGATGTCAGGACTTAGAAATGTGGTGAGACTGCTCAGAGGAGCCTTAACATGACTGTAAAAACACTTTCATGTCAGTCCAGGAACTGATTAACTGATTTAACTGAGTGACAGTGACAGACAGGGAGTCAGAAAATGCAATTCTTAGATTACAAATGTAATTAGATCCAATTGGATTCAGTTTCTTTTAGTAAATTGAGAACTAACCCTTTTATATATTTTATATTTATATATCTTGTTTTGCTTAGAGCATTGCTCTCCATTTCAGGAAACACCCTGTTCACACTCTTTTATGCACATTCACACCTGGAAGCTGCCCAGTACAACCACAACGTGAACTGCTGGCTGACTGAGCAGTTGAGGATTTAGACAAAATTTCAACATTCATTTGTGAAATGCACTTGTTAGTTAGATGAGAGGATAGATACGACTCGCATGTCTGTAAGATAAATATACTGTAAGTCAACAGCAAATAGCCAGTTATCTTAGCTTTCCACCTAGACTGGAAACATGGGGAACCAGCTAGCCTGGCTCTGTCCAAAGTCACCTACCAGAGATATGAAGGGGGGTTTACATCTTGGTTCTCAGCATAAAATTCCTGTAGTCCTGACTATTTGCCTAGTCTGGCACATGGGTCGCCAGCTCTACCGACTGAGCTAACCACGCGCCCGTGACCTTGCAGCTTTAATCCTGACCTCCTCCTCATCAGATGGTGTGGCCACCGTTTTAGTTCTAACACTGCTATTCATTGGCGAGTAGCTTTTCTGTGCGCATTTGTGTTCTGGACTTTAGATCTCGCCTGGTATGTTTGAGACCGAAGGCAGAAGAGAACCCACACATGTCCTCTGTGCAGGACATGCTGATATTAGAAAATGGACAGAACAGAAAGCCTCGACAATAAGAGATAGACACTACTAGGGAAATACACTTGACTTACTGTGCGCACAAAGGGTGAATTAAAAACACTTCATGGAATTTATGCTCTTTTCTTTTGCTGTATTTGGGAAAAGGGTCCATGCTGATGATAAGGAAAAATGTTACACCACATATTTTCAGTTTTGGAGCTTTATACATTAAGCTTTAGTCAATATTTGCTAATACCTGATGATTTTGAAAATGAACAAACATTTACAAGAAGCACTGATATATGTATTTGTAGAGCCAAATATGTACCTTGTGCAACAGCCGCATGTATGGTCTCTGTGTCAAATTTGACCTTTGCCCTTCCAGGAGTTCCCAACATCTTCTCCCAGACCAGAGTGACCTCCTTCAGACACGGAGTGATTTCCTCATAGTCCAGCTTCAGACGCTTGTTCTGCAGATCGCTCTCTGAGGCTACAAACAAAAGTACACACAGACAGTACACGTCAATGATGACAGTATAGTCATAGTAAAAGTAATAGCTGAGGTGCCATCGCTGTAACTGGGAAACCTGGCCAGTGTTCCTGAGAGCTATTTAAGCCCACCTGTCCACTGTGCTGCTCTCTTTGTGCTGTACTTTTCGTTTTGTTTCGCACTAAGAAAATCCACCTCACATCAGCTACTGCACTCGTGCACTTTCATACATGACTGATACAGCTTTCCACACACTCTTTGTTGTGGCAAGCTAGCCTGTCATAACAATAAAACCAGCGTAAAGAAGAAAATGACTTTCTAGCTTCTAAATCCTCTGGGACCCAGAAGAGGAACACTGCTGTGCACGGGGAATTTTGTGTTTTTGGTGATTTATCACTGTGAGCGAACCCTTTCACATTGTTTTTACATTGCCATATACATTGATACAATATTACTATTAAAATATTTATTGTGACCACTTTAATGTCAGTAGCTAGCTCTGTGCTCATAGCATCACAAGGTATTTTAAATAGGAACACAAGGCCACAGCTCTGCGTCTGTCTGACCCTTCATATCCTGTGGCTGGACACAATGCATCACACAGCTGGAATAGTGTGCAGCGTCAGTATATGACATGTAAAACGCCAGCATTAGATCCAATCATATTGTAATTTTGGAAGTTTGCACATGACTCACAGGTGGACAGAAAGTCAAGGAATATCAGAGAGACCCTTTGGACACAGGGACTTATCAATATAATTACAACATATTCCCCATCTATAATACAACAGATGTTTTTTTTTTTTTAATTTGTATTCAAATCTGTGAGCCCATATCCGTGAACCTCAGACACAGATTAACACTACCGATGAACTGAACAGAAAGATACAAACTGTGAATTCTGTTGCAACATGTTGACACTAGTGATCAAAGAACGTGAGGGCACACCCAGCGCCCCTCATCTGTTCCTCTCTTTTTTGACAACACCCTTCCTTTCTCCCTCCGCTAATCTCTGAACCCACAGACCTACTCTTCTTCTCTTTTTTCCAGCAACTCTTACTTCTTATTTAATCCCACATTTCTCTTGTCCGTTAGCCACACTCTCTCTCTCCCCCCCTTCTCTCCCTCCTTTCCCCCTGTGGACTTCCCCACCCTTTCCGCTCATGTGTGGCGTCCACCCAGTGACCAGCTGCAGCTTGGCAGAGCTGGGAAGTGACATCATCAGTACAGGACAGGAAAGAGACAGCAGGCCCCTTCACGTTCCAACCTGTACTAACACCTTCCAGGAAACTGGGGGGAAATTAGGTGTGTAGCCAACAAGGGGGATTAAGCTGTGTGTATTTCCATCAACAAAAGTTTGCAAAATGTAAAGTGGGGCAATTATATTAACACCACAGCTTTATTAACAACAAGAAAATGCTAATTTAGTGGCTTGCAATGAGTGCTTAGCAATGTTTGCATAGAACTCACATTCAAATCCAGAATAAAAGGCATTTTAAAATTAACTTGGCACAAGATAAATTGAGAACATCTCTAGAGATCTGAACACTTTTTATGAAGCGCTGTATATCATGGCCTCAGCAACCGAAGACAAAAAAGTAGCGTGAGTGACCTGAAATGCGTATTCTGGATAACAGAGGAAGAAAACTTGGACGGAGCAGTAGCTGACACACCCAGAGTAAGAATAGATGCTATTGGAGAGGCCGTGGCTCTGCTGTCTGTCTTATCAGCTGTCTGGAGCAGGCAGAGTTTAGTCCATCAAGACTCACTCATTGGCTGCGGCCCAGCCAGCGAAGCTCAGTCTCACCACTCTCCAACCTCTCCTCGCCTCCTGCTCCATTTCTCTCCTTTTCTGTCGCCGGAACACTCCGCCCATGATAACACACAACATGATAGGATACCCCACCCTGGAGCGGACAAAGATACACACACACACTTTCACAGTTGACCCATTAACCAGGCAGCAATGAGAGAGATAAACCGAAAGAATGGAAGACAGGGAGTTGAGCTCCACCCAGACAAATAACGGACAGAAAGGTGGAGCGCACCCTCTGGGAGGAATAAAACACAATTAAACCATAGACGCCCAAGAAAGTTGCTACACACTGTAGATGTGTATGTTCTTGTGTATGGTATGACTACAGCAAATATGTGTGTGTGTGTGTGTGTGTGTGTGTGTGGCTGAAAAGAATGAGGTTGTTTTTCTGACATCAAATTAACCTACACTCTGATATATAGGCAATCATCTCTATCTGTGTAATGGATGAAGTGTTGCGTGTGTGTGAATTGATGGTTTGTATACAGTGCAGGTAGTTAGGTGTGGCTCAGAGCTAGGTGTGTGTTAAAACGTGCCAACTGGGTCAGGAAAGAGGAGGTGTGCTTGGCACGCCCTTAGATATGAAAACACAAGCGCACACACACACACACACAACTATATATTATATAACCTCTTCATTTGTGGTGGGTCCAAATATTTCAAGAAAAACAAAACAAAAAACAGGTGTGCATTTGATTACCTAACCTGTGTGTGTGTGCACATCTGGAAAGAAATGTTGCCAAGATAGATTAAAAATTAGACATCTAGAAAACAACTCATCATGCTATGTGATGAGGCGTGAATAAATTGCGATGCAGGCTCACCCTGTAGTTTCTGGTTCTCCATCTCCATCCTCTGCAGGAGGATCTGCTGCAGTATGGCCTTCCTCCAGAGCTCCCTCAGCTCCTCTTTACTCCTTTTCGTCCTCTCCTCAGGCACCACCCTTATGGATGAGTCCCCACTTCCACCAGCTCCCACCTGGCCCACACACACTCGACCCCCCTCTAGACAGGGGTCCCCCCGCTCTGAAAGACATATGAGATTATATTACATCAGATTCGATCAGATTACACCACATTAGGTGTCTATTATAGCAGTAAATAAGGGAATACAGCAAATAAATAACAATATAGATAATAAGCATGTGATTAACATATACTCAAACTATAAATAACATTTTAATCATAATATTTATAAGCAGGTTGTGTGAAACAACAGAGCTTGATAGAAAAAAGGAAAATTAAATATAAGAAATATCAAATAATATAAAAATGCATACACAAAACCCCCCCCCAAAAAATGGTATTTACATTTTCTATATTTACAGAATATGAAAAACACATCTTTTTTGTCTTTTTATTGAAGTTCACCAATTGACCCACAGTCAATTCAATTTACAACAATCCTTCGGACAATTAAAGAAAAAAAAAAAAAAAAAAGAGCTAAACATAAGATATATTTGACACAGTCAACGCGCACACAGTAAAAAAAATGTGTTTGTGTGACTCCACCCCAAAGTACAGGGTGGATCCCAAACCTCAAAATACCCTGTGTTGTTTAGAGGAAGGACATAACAACCATCCAGATAGCACTTGCTTCTCTTTCAGTTCGTAGGAACATCACAATTCAGTTTGATCACTTCTACACACAAGCACGCATTCACATACCATTGCTTGGCTTAGGTATGTGAACCTGATGCTTATCTTCCCAAAGACTCTTCTGAGGAAATTTTAGAAATATGTAAGATAAGTCACCCTTTTAATTCTCCGACATAGTATAAAACCAAGCATACATCAACTCAATATAGACACACATATACGACGACAATAGCCTTCTTTGTGCCAGATGAGGTTAACATTTATGTATGCCTTTGTGTCTGTATCAGGGAGACTTAGCAAGACGTGCAGAAACCAGCAGAGCACATAGCTCAAGAGTTAGCTTTTAGGTGTGAAAATTCATGGATGCACGCACACACACTTGCACAGAGTGGCACGATCCACTCCCTGAGCAAACACTTCAACTTGGCCAGAACCAAGTCCCAAGCATACATACACACGCACACACACACACACACACACACAGAACATGCAAAGTGGGTCAACAAGGCTGGCGCTTTCCTCTGGCGCTGTCTGTGTGTGGACTGTCAACATGACCTTGAGACACCTCCACCCCCTCCAATACGCACACACACATTCACACAAACACTCACTCGACACACCCATGACCTCATGTATGTAAGCACACACATAAATACACACCCAACTTGCATTCAGCCAGCACAAAGCCCATCACACTGACCTGCTTAAAGCACAGTTTTTCCTTTCCTTCACGGCAGTTGACTGTCAAAATAAACTTGAGGTGCAGATTTCATTAATGATGAGGAGAAATTACTTAAATGAAATGATGTGACAGGCCTTAACGTCACTAATCCCTCATGAGAAGTGCTCAGGGGAAAGGTGGATAAAAAGGTCACATTAGTCCCATATTCCTGGTGCATTTATTAGACCCAAATACAGAATCCAGTGGGGTGAGTGCAGAAGTGAACAAATCAGTGGGAACTCCTTACAGTGTAATGTAATCAATTACTCTTGTAAAACATGCTAATTTTATTAAGGTTATAAAGCTCAGTTGTCAAGACTGCATCAAAGAAGAGTCAATTGAACTGTACGGAAACATTTGTAGCTGCGGTGTGTGGACATTTTAGACTTTGGCACCTCCCAGTGGTGGCACAAAAAAGACACAGATGCAGATAGCCAGCCTGTTACTGTGCCTTTCAGTCCGTGTTTGGGGTCTAATAGTGACCAGTCTTCCTTTTTCTAATGCAGCCTTGGTTGTCTTGACTCAAAACCCCTACACTGTGTGAATAAAATAGTAAAATTCAACTGCATTATACTGTAATGTGATTCTATTATCCACTGTCAGTAGTTGAAATGACTCACACAGAATAATGGGTGCTGTGCAACTGTTGTTGCCTTGTATAACATGGTGAATGATTCTGTTTTCTGTAAGAACAGAAAGCAAAAGTGACTTACGTCCATAGATGCCACCATTTAAAAAGACATCGTTTTTTTCCTTAGTGTGCTCTTCTTACAGGCGTTACAGTGTGACCAACCCAAATATCTGAACTGTCAACACTTGTTCTGTCATACACACAGTTTATGTAATTATCAAAAAGCAGGATCTGAAGACGTGCAAGCACATGCATGATTCCCACGTCTGCTCAGACACATATGTTTCTGTGGACACATACTAATTTAAGACTGATGATATTTCAAAGGTAACTGAGTTTAAAGCTATATTTCACTCAACGTACAACACTGTGTTCTACTTGTATCCTTCACATTTCAAAATATTTAACAAAGCTGTCAATATCCAGGTAGACATACTTTTGATTATTTTTACTCGCCAAAGGCATTCAAGCTTCACATTCATTTCACTTCAGCCCTGTGTGCATGTGCACGTCAGTCACTCACAGTCTGATAACAACGGAGATACGTGAGCTCCTGGTTATTTTGGTCTTAAGTTTAGACTCTTTAACAGGGTACCCTGCTCTGCTGAGAATGGCATTGGGCTTCATAGCTTCCTACACATTATGTATGCTTTATATATTTTAATACATTTTCCCTCAGCACAGGAATATAATATCCCAACCAATTTTTTGGTGCCGAGGATAAAATCCTTAGGAACACAAAAGTAAAATAAACAGAAACAAATTACCAGGATCTATGTCATCATATCAATGTGTTTTATGCATGATTTCTAGACTGGGATTTCAAGAGGAAAGTACATTAGAAGTGGGTACAATAGCCAAAACTGATCCCAAATCCAAACCAAAAATGCTTGAATGAACATGAATATCAGTGTTAAGGAACACCTTGGGAAAGATGGCAGGTATTGGAAAAACTGCCAGGAGGGAGGTGATAATAGCGACTTCAAGTTCATACAGGAGAGAAAGAGCTATGGTAAAGGGATCTATTCTCATTCCCTTCCCCTTTTTAAAGCACACATGTACCATGAGATTAAATCAAAGAGTGACACAGAGTGGAAAGGCTTTGTCACTGCACCACTGTCTACACACTGGGACCTTGCATGGCTGTTTTTAATAATAACACAGGTGACGTAGCACATGTGGGGAGTCTTGCTCATCTTCTTATTTTGGTAGGATACTAAGCATGCACGAACGCCAAAGAACATGTGTGTTTACACAAGTTCCTTGACCTGTCTTCCTCTAAGGAAGAAGACAGTTCTTCTAAGGAAGACGACATAAAAGTTTACAACTAGAGCATGTAAAGTAATCCCTGTGTAAAGACCTCATCCGTCAAAGCTCTTTTATTCTACAGACGCTTACACTCACTAAGTGCACAAAGCAGTATTTTTGTTATCTAAGTAATCTAAAAGAGATATACGGCATGTTTATTGATGACACTAAGCAAAAAATGTGCATAAGTAATTATAATTTACTGTATCAAACAAGGGCCGTGCAATATGACGATATATATTGTGAGATGATAGAAAAACATCTATTGTTTCATATTATACTCAATTTATTTTATTGTTCATCCTAATTCACACTCTCCCAGAGTTCATGTGAGAAAAATATGCACTTTGAAGGGGTTGATGAGGCAGGAATGCAAAGCAAGCGTTTCACTGGCATTTACGCACAAACTACTTTAATCTGCTCCCCGGGCTTTCTCTCCCACATACACACACACACACACACGCAACTCTGCTCCACTCTACACACACACTGGTTTGCCCCGCCTCTTTCTGTTCCTCTCTGTATCTCCCCAGCAGTATGTTTTATAAAGACGCCCTAAAAACACCATGATTCCATATTCACAAAAGCAGAGAGGAGGCTTGTTGTTAATGAGCCCGTGGAAATTGGTACCTTCTCTACCTTCTCCGAGTACCAGATAACACTTCCCTCTCTTCTCTTTTTCTCTCTCTCTGTGTTTCTCTTTAAGAAGTTCAAATGTGTCCCTGGACGTTAAAATACCAAAGTGGCCCGCCTAAGTAAAGGCTGACAATGAGACATTAATATTTAATATTTTGTTACATGCTTAATTGAAGATTTGCACAACCGTTCTAAATAAAAGGAGAAAAATAATCAAATATGATATGATATATAAATCGGTTTGTGAGTGTGTTCTTTACCATTGGCTTCTGTGTTCTTCTGAGGTGTAGCCACACGTAGGAAGATCTGCTGCCTCCACGAGTGGCGGTGGCTGCGCAGAGGACTTTCCCCTACCCAACATGCTGCACTTTGTGTGGACAGAGCTGCTACATCACTGAAACACAAATAAGCGCACGCACAGGAATGGTTACATAATATGCCCTGATAAACATTCAGTAGGTAGTAACACACTCACGTTCATTTACATATTAAAAATGACTTAAAATCAGTTAAAAGTGATCTATGACAACATTGAGCTACAGCTATGCTGGACACACTAACATGGGTGTGATTGTTTGGTGTATATGTGTGTCTACCTGCTCCTTGGCTCAGGACAATCGTTTTCATGGACAGGGGCCAGAAATTGAAATTTCAGAAAATTAGGGACAGAGGAGGAGGAGTGGAGACGAGCACGCAAACCACCCAAAGGACTGAGATGGAGAATTGAAGTGGAAAAAAAGAAGAAGCAGAAAACAGGTAATAAAGAGAAACTTAGGCCCCGGTCATACAGAGAGACACATTGCTTAAGAGAAGTGCTTTTGAATTGTGGAGTGCTGAAGTAAAAATAAAAGCAGAAAATAGTTTAACTTTTGAAGAGACACAGCTTCCATCACCTTTCAAACTCTACTCAAGCAATAACTGACACGTTCGGTATCTCGGTCTGAACGGGGCCTAACATAATAACATGGAAAACAAGGTCAAAAGAAGGCTTGAACAACTAATAAGTGCACATAAAACAGAAAAACGGCATGAGATACTGCATGAGTTGTACAGAAAGCCTGTGCAGGATTCTCACCTTCTTTTATTGAACCGGGCTCCAGAAGAAGGTGAGGAAGGATGATGAGGGAGGAGAGGAGAGGGAGATGAAGGGCAAGGAGGAACAGGTGGAAGGGTGGAGTCAGTTGGGACATTTCTGAGAATCAGTGCAAATATAGAAAGAAAAAGCAAAGAGAAAGAGAGCAAAGACAGTCACAGACTCTGAAAAAGTATGAAAACAGAAAATACATAGTGAAGAGAAAAAGCAGGAAAATGGAAGAAAAAAGCTTTTTGACCGCGGAGTTGTGAGACACAGATTGGGATTTTTTTCTGAATTGTCTTTTCCTGGTTTACACGGCAACATTACAGCTATAATTGAAAAAGCCATGCAATATTCTGTATCAATTTGACTCGTTTACCAGAGTACTCCACTGATTTAGAATCACACTCCCATAACACTGTCAAACTCATGATGGAACGTTTAAAAAAACAAAAGAAAAATCAATGCAGCAGAACCAAAGATATGTTTTTGTTTTTAATTCCACACTATATTCTTCCTTGCCAAAACCTGGTGCCTACGTTACCCACAACGCAACTAGACCGCCGACACTTCAGCTGGAGATTTGAGTGTGTTATGCTAAAACCAACTATGTAGCCTTCAGCTGCTAGCCTCAAGTAAAGATGAGGATCGGGCAACAGAGGTCTGGCAAGTTCATTTTCAAACTAGTAAGCCCAAACCGATGCTGGCTCAAGTAAAATCACTTGAGAAAAACTATTAGATATCATGCAGCTCCCCCTGTAGTCACAAAAGGCTGTATATGCTTTTGTCAAATACTGGTATGCAGTAGTCCTCCACAACACCTGTAAACAGACTTGGAAGAATAAAATCAGTGAAAATCCTCTTTAAGCTCCCATCTGCTATCACCAAGCACAACTTTACGTCAAGACATTTATGGTCAGATAAATAAGGGAGAAGAAGCAGACTTTGGTTCAAGAGCAGAGGAAACAGAGTTGATACCCAAAGATTTTAAAGAGATAGAGTGTCACTTTTCCGACTGAACTGAATTACTTCATGCATTAAGCTGTCTGTATACTTCAATATGTACAGTAGTTCTTTATACCCGATCTGCAGTGTATTGTTTCCCTTTGACACAGATACCCCTGCCGTCACAGACAAAACACATGTATGACATGCTCTACAGAACATGCGTCACCATTTATAGAGACTCAAGTCTGCCAGAGTAGTTCCACACTCATTAAACCACAAAATTATACAGAAACCCATAAATATAACCACAATACCTACTGTACTTTCTCTCTTACACTTCTCTTGCTTGCCCACTTTTTCTTCCCTCCTTTCTTTAGCCCCTCTTTCTCTTAAAACTCTAATAGAAACAACCCCAACCCTGAAACACATGTTCACCAAAGCCAGGTTGTTTGTAGGAATGGGAGCGGAGAACCGGTTTCAAATTGTCCAATCCATCTGATTCGTATGCCTCTGAGCTTATCAGTTCCTTTTATCAAAGCTGGCATGTTTTTACAGAGTTGTGCTTTGCAAAACAATGACATCAAACTCATGTATGTATGCTACTGTTATCTTGCAACAAGAAGGAGACTTGGCAGAGAGGAAGAAAGGAAGTTTGTAAAGCCAAGTTGCATAGTATGTAAATACACTAAACTAAGATTTGACCCCTTCACTGTATTGGTCTGAGGGGGGTAGAAATGTGCTTCACTTGTTGACCCAGGAAGAGGATACAAATTGTTATACAGCGCAGTAGGAAAATGATTGATATGCAACATATCAATTATTTAGCCATGGAAATACTTGTGTCCAACACTTGCATGTGGTGTATTTCACATCTGCTTATGTGATGTGATGCGATCTCAGATCTCATAATATTAAATTCTACTGAATAAAGTCAAGCAATATTTGAAATAATTTCCTGGTTTGTGAAAACTCACAATGAACACAAATGCTGTACAAACACACACGCACACACAC